TGAATTGTCACCCCTAAGCCAGAGGGCCACTGACAGGATAATGTTGCCACACGGCTGTACTTGATGTATTTAAGGATGCAAGGGTGGCTTTTGCTACATTTGCCATGCATAAATAATTCATCAAGGAAAGTACATAATTACTTTATAGACGTCATGCATTCTAAAAGATTCTGTATGTCAAAGGATATTTGCAACCTCCTATAACTATTTTGCTAGGGAAGGAGACCTCAGTGTCTTAAGTGCCACTTGCCAAACCTTCTCCCCAGACATAAATCAAAAGCAGAAAAGAAAAACAAAAAAAATCAAAAGAAAAAAACATATACCCTTAACCAAAATACAATCTACTGTCCTCTTTTGGCTCTTTTAGAATATTGCTTCACTGTATCTGAGGAAGCACTTTACTATCTTTTGTGATTTTGCTCACAAGAGGAACACATGCCCCAAAATTGCAAAGCTGCTTGTGGAAACTTCCAATTTTGCTTCAGGCAACCAATATTGCTTTGGACCACCACGCTTAAGGAGGGGTTGAAGGAATGCGAGGTCCTTCAGTGTTTATCAGGGAGGAGTAGAAACGGAAGACCTGCTGAGAATACTACAGGCATACCTGTACTACAAAACTTTTAACCGAACAGTCCTGAGGAACTTCTAGACTATGGCACGAGACCATGTCTTAGTCACAAATGTATAGTAAAATAAAGCAAGACCCATATAAAATGAAATTGAGAGGTTTTCTATGAGTATTGTTTTGCCTCCAGATGTAGCCATGGATCACCTAAAAAATATTAACACAATGGCATTCATTTCTCCTCCATCTCTGCTGCACATAGTTCTGGCCGTGTGACGAAAATCTCTGGTGGCCGGTGGTACTTCACCCGTGTGATGGCTCACGGGCTGTGCCACTTGAAAAGTTAAAAGAAGCTTACCTAGATCAGCTCAGCAATTCCACACCTTAAAGTGTGGAGGACCCATCCTGGGGCAGCTCGTAGCCTGGATGGTATAAAGGAGAAATGAGAAAGAACGGACTCGCTTCTGTTCTTCGGGGAGCTCCCGTCTTCACCTTCAGCGTGGACATCATCTCCTGGCTTCTGGCACCTTCCACTACAGACCCGTCGGCCTCCTGATATGGACTCACATGGGACACTGCAGTGAGCTGCAGATCTTGGACTGAATCCTTCAGTCTCCAGTGTGCGGACACCCTCTGACACTTCCTCCTCTGAATGTGTGGCTGACCATCGTGAGCCAATCTTGTAAATTCTTACACATTTACATATCTCTGTTACATGTTTCTCTAGTAAAACCCTGACTGATACAGCCTGGCTTAGGCTGAGGCTGGATGAGCAGCTCATAGTGTCTTCATCCAGACAACCACACAAAGCCCAACACACTGAACTTGCTTAACCATCCAGCTCTGGACTGGCACCTCTACAAGCAACTGTAAGCCAAGTATAGGAAGCACCTCCAAGGAGACGTCCAAGGACAAGGCTGGCAACACAGGAATGCTCTCCATGCATTAAACTGAACATTTACTATGTCCAACAGCACAGCCCTGAACATGCAGTTACTTCACAAACACTGAAAGAATTTTAAAGACATGGTAAAAATAACTACAGGTTATGTAAAATACTGACTCTGCTTTTAAGGTAATTAAGGATCTGACTGTAATGAAGAACAGGGAGCTCTTCAGCCCAACGGTCACAACATTCCCATCTCTGTATGTTTTTTAATGATTAGGAGATGTTACTACGCAAACTAAGCCCAAGGCTAACGACTGAAATAGGTCACTTGAGAAAGTCGACTCTAACCATGAAGAAAACCTATATATATATAATTTTGCCACATGTCAAAGCAAATAATCATCCCTGAGAAGAACTAACGAGGATGTGTATAATCCTGTCACTTTTAAGGGGATGTAGTGGATACTTGGTAGGTTTATTTTAATACCTACTTTGAAAACTCAAATGTGGCGACTCTTAAATCAGGTAACACAACAAATCTAAGCCAGTCTTTCAAGAATTTGGAGTCCGCGTCAGTGGAGAACCACACCCACAAGTGATGCTGAGCTGGATTTGTGTGTCCAACCATAAAAGGCGTCCTCCACCAGGAAAGAGCCTGAACAACACCAACAGTCAAAGCACTTTCTAGAGAAGGAAATCAAGATTCCAAGAAACAAAGTGACTGTTCTCATTAAACTTAGGCAGCGGGACTAAAACGTAAGGCTCTGGGTCCCCGGCCTAATTCTTCACAAATGCTGCTCCTCTGGGGACGCCCCCAATACTGGTTCCCACGCACGGTCCCCACTGAGGTACATCAGGCACCACTCCAACCTTCATTTCCACAGGAGCACACAATAGGCACGAAGCGAAACACGCTTAGTGGTGCAGGCGCCTTCCAACCAGACCCTTAACTTGAAGCTCAACATATGTTATTTCCTAGCAACTCAAATGCCAGTTTTCTTTACTGCCTCCCCGGGAACCAGTCCTCTGACCCAGCACCGTACCAGTACATCGGCGCACGTGCCATCATGCTACCCCACACTATTTTATGAATGTACTGATATAAAAGTCACTGTTTGCAAGCACTTTCCTTCTTCCGGAGGCAGGCGGAAAGGAGTGTGATTGTGGCTGCGTGCGAGCGTGTGTTAGTCTGAAATGGAAAGTAGTAGCATTCGCAAGCCCTTTAACTGGTTTTGGTTCCTTGGGATACTTGAAGGAGCAATGCAAAGTCAACATTCATTTTAAAGACTATTTTAAAATGAGTGGTTCCCATTGCTCATTTCCGTGCAAGGGAAACTTGTGTCGATGAGCTATGCTAGAGGGTGGGTGAGAAACTGCCTTCCACATACTCCCATGTCTCTGAAACACCCTCTTTTCCCCGTGACTAGGGGGAGCCTTTCAACTCTGCTCAAAGTGTGTGTCACTGGAATTCCCGGTAAAGTTCTGAGCCCTGTTTGAAATCTCTCCAGGGCAACATTTAAACAACTCCTCATTGTTTCAAACCTGAAACCCCCTGAAAATCTATTTTTGGATTCACCTACCCCACGTCACCCTATTCTTTTGCACAGTCAATCATAATTCTAGGCAGCGTTCAGGAGGCCAGAGCAGTTTGGCTACCTGCGCTGAACCTGTTACTGCGGCATAATGAGCTTCCAAGGAAAGGAAGAGATGCCATTGCTGTGCAGATTTATATCACAACTACCAACTGTGCTTCTCAGCACAAATTCCTCCTGCCCCGCCACAAAGCAGTTATGAAACGCTCACTGCGTTAAGCAAAGACACGTCGGTAAATCATTTATTTAGCTGCATTTCTTGCATATTATTTCTGACTAATGGTTAAACTTTTCATGTTTATTGAATTCCCAATTGTACCCAGTGGGAAATGTCATAAAGTAGGAGGACAGAAGCCGTCCACATCTGCCTTCTGTGCATGAGACACTCAGGCTGGAGCCGTGTGGGCAATGACATTCACCACCGTGGTACATGGGGCCCCCAGGTGTCCGCACCCCACGCTCACCCGCCAGTCCACCCACGGCCACAGCTTTTCCATGAATTCACCAGAGGTCAATTTCTGTTCCCTAAAAATGTCATGCGAGACATTAGCTTCCACTGCAAAAAAAATCTTTAAAAACATATATACTTTTAAGCTTCCCCAAACTTAAAATTTTTCCATTCATTTTACTTTGTAACTATATTTTTAAAAACTTTCCTATTATTTCAGACACTTTACTATCCCATCTGCCTTGTTTCAATTCAGAATGCTTTTATTTTGATTTTATGACAATTATCCATATATAATTTAGCACTTTCTCCTTTTCTTTGAAACTTATTCTTAGAAAGCAGTGCTCTGTGTATCAAGTTGGATTCAAAACAGCTTTCTGGTCTCTGGCATTTCGCAGCAACAGACATAATTACTCGCCTATGACCACTTTTGTTTTAATTACTAATGTAGTAAAAAAATACATGCTATGGAGCACTCAGTAAATATTCAGTGAGCTGTTGTCTCTGGGCTCCTAGAGCAGCTCCCAGGTGGAGAAAGCTTGGCCTTCAGTCTGATCACCAAGCAGTGGGGAAGCTCAGCCAGCAGACAGCAGCTCCCCAAGAGCTAAAGTCTCTGGAAAGAGAGGAGAATTCAACCCAGTTAGGAGTATAACTTTAAGCTGCAAAAATTCAAGAAAAGCATTTTATTGCTTGAATCATGAAAGCAGCTGTCTCGGTCTCCCACATATCAATGTGACAAAATCCAGGGTCCCGAGGACAATCCTGGCTTGGTGCAAGCTCATGATGTGCTCAGGGGAATCTTTGGACTTTCTCTAGAGCTGGCGACCCATGAGATCCAGTGGTTAAGGACCACCCATTCCTGAAGCAATGCGCCAAGTTCTGTATGTATAAAATAATTCAGCGAGCAGACCCAAGTTTTGTCCTCATCTTCTAAGTCTGATTTTAACACGACCACGTCTCAAGGTGCTTTGCCTGGAAGCCCCATCCCCCCAACCTTGTGGCCCCATCTTCTCTGGAATGAAAACGTCACTAGGAAAGTGTCCCACTCTGCCACCTTGTTTCCTGGTGGGTCTCCAACACTGAAGCATAGTCATGGCACAGAACGAACACTAGAGGAATGAGTGGATGGATGGATGGATGGATGGATGGATGGATGGATGGAGAGAAAAGACATTGCACAGATTTACCTATCAAAATCTCACCAATGGTCCTTAAAAATGTTTCTGTACTAGAGATGCTGAGTATATTCATATAATCCCATTATTTCAATATTGTAAGAATCCTAGGAGTCTTTTTCCCCCTCTTTGGGTATTGATATTTAATTAATACTGTTACTACAGGGACCCAAATTTAATAAGTTTCTTTGAAAAGAAAAAAGCAGACAATTTTTAAGCAAAGGTTTTTACCAGACTACATACCACAATAATTTTAAGAAAGTAAAAAATGATACAAACCTATTTACCTTATCCTAATTTCTATAAAATAAAGGAACAGAATTATACTTACATATAATGTAGTAATCTTTGTTCTTCTGAAATTCTAGACCCCAGAGGTTAGGGCTGAACTCTTGAAACTTGATGGTAAATTTCACGTCTTGGTCTGGCCGGGCACAGTTGAGTAGTGGGGTATTTTCCTTCTTAATAGTACATCTGTCTGCTTGGTCTTTATCAACCATATAAACTTTATAATATTCATATTGGCCAACAGTTTTAGAGTCCACTTTGGGGCAAATAATATCCAATTTGTCTCCTATCTGTGGGTATAGTACCAGTCCTTGTCCAGGTAGAAATCTAAAAGTATAAAAGAAAAGCCACTGAGTTGATAAAACTTGACAGTTTTCATAAAGCCAGACACTGCGAATAACCCCACACTATAACCTTTCAGATCCACGCTTTCTTTTACTAACAGTCTCAGTGCAGGTCAGATGGAATAAACGTATTTAGGAATTAAGCTTAAAAAACAAACCACCAAAACCAAAACTGGGCCCTTTCTTTGCAGCCACAGGGTCAGGCCGCCCGCTGACAGCTGGTTGCCGTCTCAGTCTTGCACCTCAGTGCTCCTTTGTGCGACTCTGTGATAACTTTTCCTCCAAGGTGAGTCAGATCTTCCCACCTGTTTAATATTTTTTAACCACTGGCAATTTGGGTTTATTGGGCAAGCCACGGAGAGCTCACCAATCCCAGGGAACAGGGCACGTACTGAGACTTTGTTGTCCTGTTCCTTCCATGTGCTATTGATGTTAATTAACAGACAAGTTTCATCACGAATGTTTCAAATTACTTATCATAATTAGTCAGTCACTGATCAAACAATGGGTTTTTTATTGCACAGAACAAAAGAAACGTCTCACAAACCTATAAAAGATAACCAGAAGTAATGAGTGGTGGTATTGATTCAGCTGCGAAATGGAGAGCCCGCCCCCTGCAAGGCCAACAGCTCCTGTCCCTGCTCCACAGCCCTTCCTTTCCCCTCCCTCGAGATGTATTTGCTCCGATTAATTCTTAGAAGCAAATCTTTAGAACCCGGACTACTGATACACCATCCCCTGAATGCTTCCAGCTGAGAGCTTCCCTCCTCCCTTTTCTCTCTTGCTAGCTATGCTGCTGAAAGATCTTTCCTAATGGGGAGTTTCTCCAAGAATCTGAAACAAGAGCTTCCTAATGAACATCCCTGTCCAAGTGCTAACACTAACAACACACTCAGAAATCCCAGGCGCTGAAGCAGCCAGGCCTGCAGGCTCATTAAAATATTACAGCCGGATGCGAAAGCATAGCCTCTGAATCCTTCCCATCCACGGCTGTCTTCAGCCAGCGAAGCCCACCAACCAGGATGATGGGGGCTGGGGTACAGGAGCAGAAGGAAAGCAAGGACGAGGGCCGCCCCAATTCCCAGCTCTTGCTGAGGGGACAGTTTATGAAATGTGCTTAAGGAAGGTATTAGTTTTCTGACGCAGCACAAATCACAATTCATAATGTAGCTTCATATTAAAAAGCAATACGTTTTATGGCAGGAAAAATGCATGTGGTACAGTGGCTTGTCACTCTTTGGGGGTGCAATCCCAAAGTGAGTGGTTCCCCTCCACGCTTTCTTAACTTGGCTCCTTTAAACAAGAACCTACAACATTCATTCATCCATTCAGAAAAGTTTTTGAGAAAAAACCTACATGGGTGAATGCAAACCACCTAAGATAAAATCTTTCTGTGAAGCAGAACATCCAAAAAAGTGTTTATTGCACAATGATGACAACTTTAAAACATCAGCGTGTGCACTGCTACGAATTTGCTAGGACTTTGACAAGTGGAGCTCATCCCTTAGTAAGAGCTTCCTGCCAGCTTCCTGGCCATTCCCACAGTTATCTGGGGAGACACCAATCTCGGGGGACTGACTGGCATCCCCAGGGTCCCTCCCCAGACCCCCTGCTGGTGAATCAGAATTTGTGGATGAGGCTTTAACTCCACCCCCACCCCAGCAGGCACAGGGATTCCGATGTGTGCTGCGGTTAAACCCAGGGTGTGATGCCTGCCAGGAGGCACAAACTAAATTCCAGGAGCATTCATTAACTCACTCACCTTCCTGACATCTTCTTTTGCTTATGCTGATGCCTTGACCTTTTTAGGAAACCTTCCATGCTTACAAGAACCAGGGGCTGATTCCTGCCTAGTCTCCCACCCGGCTCCAAATATTTTCTGTTCCAAAGCAGCTCCTTTCACAGGCACAGACAGATGCCATAAAAGTGTTGGCACCATCAGGACAAGCTTTCTTAAATGGCAGCTGTAGCCTGTGGCCTGGATGCCTGTACCTACATCTCAGAGCTCCCCCGACTGCTGCCCCTTACCAACTCCTCCACGGCTTCCCGGGCTGCAGAGAGGAGGCTCACTCTCTCACCCCCCCATGCATCCAGTTCGCTGAGGGTAACAACACACTGCCCCCTCCCGCGACGCACATCCAGGCAGGTCTGAGGGCTTACAGCCTCTGGAAGTTAGGCTCACTGAGCTTTCATGGTTCCTTCATGCAGGTCTTTTTCTTTCCCTGCTTAGCCAAGGCCTGTCTGGAGGCTTTCTCCCGCCCAGACAAAGTGCCCTGCGCGGCTCTTGTCACTCACCAAGTCTGAGTCCTAGCTCTTATGGGTGCTGGGAAGGTCGAGAACATGTGACACCCATGCTGACCGCCGAGACCCCTTCATGGCCAACTGTGGCAGAGTGTGGACAACCCCCTGGGACCCTCACCCTTCCCAAAGGAACATGGCAGCAAACCAGAGCAATAGGGGAAGAGTCACTGCGCCACATTGCGCTAGGTGCTCTGTCTGACAGAAAACATGCCCATGGGGATCACAGGGAAACTATAGTCTCACTCCCCGAGGGCAGGCGGGTCCCAAGTAAGTCTGACTCAATACTAAATGCCCAAGGTGCTGGCATATGGTAGGTGCTCAGTAAAGAACACACTAGCTTGAAAGAAAATCTGAATGGACAAATGCAGGCTAACATGGAAGCATATTTCAGTCCAATTAAGTGCCACAAACTATGAAGATTGCAGGCAGGATAGGAATTCTGAAGACAGGCATTTTGAACAAGGACGTGCAGAGGGGCAGCGATGGGGTCTACCCAGGACATCGACCCCGCTCCCACCTCCAACTTTCCCTCTGGAGAGCCCCATCAGCAGCCACCTCCACAGCCACCAATCCCAAAAGCAGCCCAGCTCTGGAGCTGGTGCAGGTGCTAAGCACTGACCCATGCACCTCGACCCCATGACCTTCATCCCAGCACCTCATCCTGACTAGGGGGAAGAAGTCCTTCCCCTACACACTTTCAGTTACATGGAAGTCCAGCTGTGGCTTTGGGAGACACGTTTTTCTAAATCAAGGATAAGCCACAGAGTGAAGGGGAAGCCAATGCACACAGGCTCGCAAACTTCCCAGGAGCGCTCAAAGGGCGGGGGAGCGCAGCTGTGCCCAAGCCGGAGGATTCTTCCGAGAAGGACAGCTGGGACCTTGGCTCAAGCAAGTGGTCACCTGTATCTGAGCCCTGCCCCAGAAGGCCAAGAGCCAAATGTGAGGGAGAAATGGGCCAACCATATGCAATGTGTGTTTTACCTGTAATGTTTCAGATGGACTTCAGGCAATTTATGCCAATAGCAGAACGTATATATTAAAAAATGGTAGCAGAGTGAAGTGGCCCATGCCTCTAATCAGCTACTCTAAGAGGGTTAGGCAGAAGGATCTCAAGTTCAAGGCCAGCCTGGACAACTTAGAGAGACCCAGTCTAAACCAAAACTAAAACCAAAACAAGGGCCTAGAATGTTAGATCAGCAGTCACAAAGCCCTGTTCAATCCAGAGCACCCTGACAAAAAAGCAAATGAAAAGTGGAAAATAAAGCAAAGGGGCTGTTTCCTAATAATACCATTGAAAAACAGGAACACTGAGGTTCAGTGGAACAACGAGCCCTATATGCTATAATCAAGTCGGTAAACCAACTTCTGTTTTTGAAGCCAAGGGCTTTACAGAATTCTCTACTTCTGAGACTACTTAGGGAACATAGTAAATCAGAGTGCATGGATTTCTGCACCCTGAATTTTTCATGGTATTTGATAATCCATTTATCAAATGTTGCTTTGCAAGTGTTAAAAAATCGGAGGGTGATGAGCCATGGGCAGTTTTAAATGACTGCTTGACGATCTGTGCAGGACGCCAGAGGCAGATTTGTTTGGGCTGAAGTGTAAGGTGAATCTTGCAACTAAAAACGGCGGGGTGGAAAACCTCCAGTTACACCCCAAACTGCACGAGGAAAGTTAAACCTTGCCAAAAAGTCATCAGAAGTGTTGTTTAATAAAGTCTGCTAATTGTTCATCAAACATCAGACATGCCAATAGTGATTTATGTTCTAGATCAGAGAGAACCAGTCAGGCAGTAGCTCCTGGAGCCAGGCCACCCTGCTGGGCTAGGGCAGGTGGGTCTTATTCCCATTAAGGAACCTGGGCACCTCCTCCTGGGCTTTCCACACTTTCGCTGGGGCATCTGACAGGGAGCTGGCGGGGCCTCTGGGAAGAAACAGGCTACTCCCATGGTTTTCCCCAGTTAACCATTTCCAAGCAAAGCAACAGATGTCATGACTTTGACCCAAATATGGACACAATAGAATGTAAGAAAAAACGGGAATTCTAGAGTAGAATGGAAAATGGAAATTCCAGAGCGGAAAAATAGAAAATCTAAAATTCTGTTTCCAAAGCTAATATGCCTTCAGTAGGATAATTGCTATTAGGATCTATTTTTACTTTTGGATTACCTATCATCACATTTAACTTTTTAAAAGTTATTCCTGATAGTAGATTCAGTACTTCCACATGGAGTACTTCAGGTGGTAAATCCAATCATCTAAATTAGACATTAATATTTAGTAATCTAAATTAGGTCTCTAGCAATTTAGACATTTCAACTTCATATTCCTCATTGTAAAAACTTATTGCCATCATGTGACACAATATTCCTTAATGTGAGTAGACGCGAACATGGCAGAATTAATGGGGAACAGAGCAGGGAGTTTAACCGCCGGGTGAACCCAGACTGGTTTAAAACAATGGCAGCAGGCACAGATAGCAAAGCCCAGCTGCTTGGAGTTCAGCGACTGTCACATGTGAATCCCTGCACCCAACAGACCTCCTCACACGTGACGTCAGGTCCAGATCTTTCTACCGACCAGCACTGCAGGACCAGGTCTGATGGAGGTGGCCCCACGGGATTCCGTTTCTGACCTACACTCAGCGCAATAGGGGGACCCACAGAGAGTCATGGACTCTGCACTGCTCCTGCTCCCCAAGGCCTGCACTCCCCCAGCACCCCACATGTGCCTCAGTACTAACCCCCGAGAGTGTACACAGGTTTCTTCTGGTTGGCCAAAAACTTACTTTAACCTGGAAGATACCAAATTCCAAATCGCAGAATGGCTGCTGGATGCAGGAGCAGCTGGTGACGCTGCACGCGGAGAAGAGGCCTGGGGGCTGGTGGCTGAGAAGGGGGAGCTACTCAGCGGAAGTGACTGCAGAGCATGCTGGTCCCCGCACAAATGGGCAGGTGAGCATGCTCGCAACTGGACGTGGAAACAGGGAGCCAACACTGAACAGGAAGTCCAGTTTCTGCATCTTCACAAAGAGGGAGGCAGGAGTATCACAAATTCAAGACCCCTTAGCAAGTCTCTCTCTCTTGCTCTCTCTCATATATATTATATATATATAAAATAAAAAAGGATGGAGATGTATGTGTCTCAGTATGAAAACCCTGGGTTCAATCCCCAGAACCAGAAAAAAAAACTAGAACTGGGCCACCCAAACTCTCCCACCAACCAGAGAGACTGCCCATAGCACTTCTGGGAAATGCTGGGTGAGGGCTTCTATTTATAAAGAGTCTGCTCAGACCCACAGCTGTTGCTACCCGATACCATGATAGAAAAGTCCACTGAAAGGGAAGATTTCGTATCTCTGCGCAGTCAACCCAGCATCAGCACCCGAGAGACAAGGCCATGTAACTCAGGCTGACGGCAGGAGGCATACCTTGCCATCCACGTACCTGGGTGGCTACGCCAATGGGTAAGCAGAGGGAAGCACAGCGAAAGCTTTTCCATCTACAGAAAGTTGCCAAACAAAGGAAGACTCGTGAGTGATACACATTATGTTCCACCAATCATTTTGCTTTTCCTTTCATTTCAAAATTCCATCATCATCATCGCATACCTTGGAAGAACATGGACATTTCTGCCAAGCAGACCAACAGATGATGGTGTCCCATAAGACTGACATCACCTACTGACATCACAGCCATTGCAGCTTGCAAAGGTGCAAGAAAATCACCTAAGATGAGTTTGCCCACACATCCCCATTATTGTTAGCCAAGGAGTCACTGAACGGTCACTGTAAAGAGATGGCTTATGTGGGTGACTCAGACCCATATAAAATGTGACTTGCCTTCCTGGTCCTTTTGCTGACCATGGGACCAACACGCCCAGCCGTATACAGGGGGCTCTACCTGCAGCCACCTGGGGATGCTGGGTGGATTCAGAGACCAGAAGGATTTATTTTTACTTTTCTGTGTTTACTAGAATTCTCTGCAATAAACATTCAAAGCTTTTGTGAGAAGATTGGAACATTATTTTTTAATGTACAACTTCAAAAAACAAACTGCGGCGTCTTCTTGAACTGGCTTTCGTAACTCTGATTTTTGAAAGAAGTATTTAAAATATTTAAGGACTGTAGGCTTCTCAACTTTTTGGTGTAATTCCTAAGAAAGCAAGTAAATGAAATGATCATTGCCCAAGCTGTGGCCTTGCTCATAAATCAGTTCCTGGGTCCACAAAAGCTGGAATAACATACAACTTGTTGGTTCAAATGAAAAAACAAGGGATAGGTAAAATTTATGCCTAATCCTGGAAATTAACAAATCTGGAAGGTAGCTGACATTTCAAGGAATGTGAATCCCAACTCTTGCTCTAGGAGCCAACCAAAAAACATATAATATACTAGGTCTGTTCCCAAGCCAGCATTCTATATTTGGTACACCTTGAGTTTATCACATTTGGGAAACGTACTTTTTCCATAAAATGCCTTTATTTCTACTTGAATGAAGTGTCAAAGGCTATGTGTGTATAGAATAGAAATCAGTGTGTAAATTGGTTAGTCCGAAGTTTGGAATGCGGGCACCCTGTGGCATAGCTGCAATTGGGTGATCTTTCTAGTTACCCCCTTACAAGGGATGCCCATGCCTCTGCCTGAGCCCAGACTTTGACCTTCAGCTCTGCAGAATGTGTCCAGCCTCCAGGTCTCTGGAACTACAACAGCACTGATGCAGAAGGCCAAGGCTCCCAAGGCGCCCGGTGCACTTGGGAATACAAACAGTCCCGAGCATGTGAGTTTGATAGCACATTCCATAAACAGGCAGGATATTCAGCTTTGCATTACCTCCATTTAATGCTAGAATGCTGCTACAGCTAAGTAAGATATTCAAGAAATGTTCCAAACAGAAGAGTTTTGTTATGAAATGAATAAGTAGAAGTCGGGCCTCAAGATAGATACAAGCGATATCTTCCACAGGAAATACTTGGGAAACATTTTTTTCTGCATTTGTGGATAGCACTTTACTGCCCCCTTTTGCACTTTAACATCAGGACAAGTTTCTACACAGACTTAGTCTGAAACTGGAGAAGTAGCGGAGTGCAGCTCTAGAGTGTCAAGTTCGTATAGAACTGGGTTACCAGATACTATTGTGTAGAGTAACAAGTAATTACCTTGAAACTTCCAGCGAGCTCACCGCTATCTTCTCAGTGGCTTCAAACCTCCAAGAAATAAGGTAGTAATTGGAGGTTTTAATTGGCATTTTCTGCTTTAATTCGCATGTGTATGTGTTTTGGAACAATCGCCTGTTTTCACAGGTGCCCCTGCTTTCACAGTTTTCTAAAACAAATATCATCTGCAACACGAACCTGACGTATTCAAGGATGAGAAAAGGGGTCTAAAAGCAGGCTATACAATCGGGGACCATTAAAGTGTTATAAAGGTGAGGGCCGGGAGTGGGGTATACATTTCAAACTTCACACCAACCACAAGCAGAACTTTTTCAGGGAAGGAAAGATGAGAAGCACAGAATTCAAATGCGGGGGAGCCCACAGGCGCACAAACCAGTTCAGCCGCTCTGCCAGGTGAGGCCCGTCGGGCTCCGCGTCCAGGCACATGCTTACTGGGAAGGTGCTGCACCAACTGCAGTCCACCAAGTTTCATTCGACACAATCTAATTTGCGGCGACAGAGCTGGAGGGTCCACTTGTTGGCCCAATGACACCAACTTGCACTGAGCTAAGTCTGCGTGCATGGTGGATTTTCTTCTCTAAACTTATCTGTTTCCCCCTGTCAGTCTACAATTACCATTGAGTCAAAAGAATATTAAATTTCACAGCCTACAGAGCTGTACAATTGAATGAAAACTGACCCTTTTTGATGTTAATCTTGTTTTTTATTTGTGATAAAACGCTCAAAACACTGGGGGCTAAAGTGTACTTTAAAACACTAATCTCACAGCTTAAACTTTTTTTTTTTTCAGGAAAATAACACGAGTAACACAAATATTTATTACATTTTTATCCATGCTGTGATCTTCACTGTCATGAAAACCTCCAATCCACAGGACACACTTATAACAGAAGGAGGCAGAAAATGTACCTGAAACTTGTGTATTAAACTTGTGTAGTCAAACTTTGAATGTTGCGATGCACATGCAAAATTATTGCCTTTTTCACAAATAGCACAGTAGTTAAATCTCTGCCATAAGATCAGAAACAAAAATAGCTTAGTTATGGAATTGGTCTAGGGCACCCCTCCACATACACAAGCCAAAACAACCCACTCCATAAACAAAATCCCATGAATTCTGTAGCTCACTAAGGCCAAGTCTGGGGTTAAGGGGAAGGCTGGGGTACAGTAAGACAGGAAGTGGGGTGAGCTCCAATGCCAGCCGTGCTCTGCTGGCTGGGTGACCACGCTGGCTCCACGATTGAAACTAGGATTTCACAACCTTCAGAGCCGAGAGGCACAGCAGGCTTCTTTCCCAACCGTAATTTGTTTGCACCTGTGCGGTCTTGTTCCCAGCCGTGCTTTTAGCAAGCGTCTGTGAAGGACAGTGGAACTCGTCTTATTTATAGGGAGGCCCAGAAGGAAAGCGCTCTCACAGAGATTCAAAGCGCATTTCCAGCCCATTCTGTGCGGTTTCAGACCTGGCGTTCAGGTCTCCTGGCTCATTTACTCAAGTGGGAAAAATCACCGATGAAAGCCCCACGTCAGTCAGAGGGAGCAGGCCTGGCAGCCCCACACCCAAGCACCCGCAATAAAGACAGGGTCGTGGGGGTGCGCGAGCCCCACTCCCGTGCTCGGCCACGTGCACCTCTCCTCTCAACCCTCCGTCCCTACCATCCGCTCACCATCACACACTGGTTCTGAAATGCAAAGAATCTGGCTTTAAAAGGAGTCGCCCACATCCTAAAGACGAAACCTCTGTCTTTGGTGGAGAACACACCACTCCTGCTACTGCTGGCCCCGGGACCCCCACCCCACAGACTGGGTGCGCATAAGTGCTCGCGCAATGACGGAACGAGTGAGTCAGATAAAAGAGGAGACCAAACTCCCTTATTTCTCTCTGGACATAAGAAGGGGTTCCGGCAGCCAGGCGAGCATAATGAGCCTCAGCCCACAGCACAGTTTGTAAGTCTGTGTTGCTGCAATTGCTTTACAAGCCACTAAATGATGGCTCCGCCAAGTCCTCCTCCCTGGGCCCCGGAGGAGGGCCAGGCCCAGGTCTGCTGTGAGCAGAGGGCAGGAGGTCTCCGCCTGACCCTCTCTCAGCCCATGGGGTGGGGGACACGGAGCCATCAAGAGAAACAAAGGCGGCTACAAAACCACTCCAGCCAAGGTCAATAAAGCAGCCTGGGCCACTGACTTCATACAAACCACCCCAGACCGTGTCTCTTATAAAACGTGCACAGCAATCCACTGTAACCCTCTGGACAGTAGATTTATTTCCTCCTCAGTCTCTGCATGCAGCCTGCAATCCCCTTGAACGAAATACAAAAACGCCCCAGAAGTTAAATTCTGTAAGTTACTCAAACAGACTGCCCCGGAACGAAGCTACAGTGAACTGGACGAGAAGGCAAGAGGTCACAGGGGGCCTACGTTTTCAAAGAAATGAAGATTTCTTTTAGAAGAGACCTCTGGCTGGCTGCTGGGTCTGCAGGTAAGCAGATGACCAGCAGGCGACAATGCAAACCAGGCAGCACTGTGAAGTCAAGAGAGCCCCAGGCCCACTGATATTCCGCGCCTGGTTTCCTTAAACAAACTGCTCCAAACCTGCAGAACATCAAAAGCCAGATGGGCTACACTGAATGAATCCACAGGCAAGAAGCCAGATCCCCAGTTTGCTGTAGAAATAGGCCTGGACTTGATTTGAGTCTTCTCAGCTCTGACAAGCTGGAAGCTGGCACGGATCCCAAAATCCAAAATAAAATGGCATTTAATTGTGACTAGACTCTAAAAAAGATGTCATACTATCTCCTTAGCCTGACACACACTCAGCACCTAACCAAATGCAGCTCTCCCCGAAAATCTGACCTCTTTCCCCCAGAAAGAACCCATTGTGTAAATTCTGAAGAGGAAAATGTTAATAGTGAAAGGAATAATATTCAGTAAGTGCAATGATAGTCTACACTGCAGAAACAGCCTGGGCAGCCTTTAAATAGGCTGCTGCTGATTCTGTTTTCAGGGGACACAACCTTGTTTGATCTAAGAGTCAAAGGCCCCATTTAGAAGTTCACGGCCACCCTAGAAAGTGACTCTAAGAAAGGACAATGGGAGAAATGCACCCCAGGCTTTCTATCCCTCCACCTCGCCTGCACTGACCGGAGCAAGGACACTTAATGGAGACACCCAGTCCACTAACTACCCGCTTGGAGCAGCCTAAACAGGCAAGGCAGAGTTGAGGGAGGAAACCTGGTACCAGAGCACCTGGGTTCAAATCCCCTGCTTAGTTAGCTACAGGACTTTGGATAAGTTAATTAACCAATGTGGGCTGTTTCCTCTTCTGTATTAAGGGAAATAGCTACAGTACTCACGCAGCTGCTATGATGATTTTACGAAATTTGTACTTAAGTATGTGTCCAGCAGTTAGAATAGCAGCTGGTGCATAGTGAGTAGTACATACAACTGCTGTCCTATGAAACCACAGCCAGCAGGAAAAGCGGTGTCTACACGAGGACTACCGCGCAACATCAGCACGGGAAATGCTGAGCTCCCCGACCCGATAGGGTGAGTGCAGGTCTTCACTCCACAGCCATATCTTCTGCTGCACCCTTCACGAGAACACGCAAGGTAGGCTCAGACAAAGACCCTACTCCGGGGGGATGGCTGAAAAGAGGGAAAGAGTCCCAGATTGTTTTTTTGAAAAGGGGTGTCCCGGGTTATAAATTTTCAGAGAACACACAGGGACAGAGAAGCAGAGGAGAGAGTAACTGGTAGCAGACAGGAAGTAAAGGTGTTTCATAGAGCAGAAAGTCAGAGTTTGGCAGGTAAACAAAATAAAATAGAACACCAAAACTTACAGGTGAAAGTGTTATGTTATTGGCTTTATTGACAGAGTATTTTCATTTTCTCTTTGTATGTGGAAGGCAGACTGAACCACGGCCAGCCACAGATATTCAATTAATTATTTTTATTAGTAATAATTGATTTTTGGCTCCTTGTGCCAAGCACAGAGCTGTTCTCTTTAAACACAATTAATCCTGACCACAGTTTCATTCAACACTATTATTTTACTGTCCCATTTGAGAACTGGGAAAACTGAGTGACAAGGAGGACACTGCTCCCAAATTATAATCAACGGCTAACGTGGAAGTAGCTCACAGGGGTGAATTCCAAAGCACCCCTGAGGGCTTGAGCAGACTCCTATATAGCCCTTGGCCCTGTGTCCTCACTGTACAGAATTGCCTACCTGCCCACTACCACACACTCTGCATAGCAAAGGTGCTCAGAGCCCTCACGTTACCAAGACGCCTGGTGTTAATGGACTTGCTATCCCGTGGGCTCTATTTGTTCCATTTTGCGGGGTCTGTCTAGGTGCTGTGGCCAGGTGCATGACACAATGGCGTAGGTTTATATAGGCAGCACCGCAGATACACGCTGTCCTGAGCCCACACAGAACTGCCCTGGCTGGCTTACTATTTTCTTTATGTCAGCAATCTACTGTGACTGCTTAGAGATGCTGCAGTCCTCCCACCTCAAGTTTCTCCTCCCCTGGGCTGCTTCCCTAACTCTCCCACCCCAAGGTGAACACCTTCCATCTTCCTGGGTTCCTTGGAAGAGGGGACCCTGGGGCACTATCAAAACTTGCTATTTCTCCTGCATCCTTAGTATATCAGTCCAAGGGAAGGCACCAGTCGGTCAGCCCTGTATTCTCAGTTTAGTAACCAGCCTAATAATTATGATCCCTTGTGCCTTCTTAAAACCAGAAGGGGGCCAGAAAGCAGCAAGGCAAGGACCTCAGATTTCTACAGAAATCCTCCTCCAGCCTTGGGAAGTACAACGACCCAGTGAGCGGTAGGTTGTTTTCCAAAACAGGCTAATCCAGGGTAAAGGTGCTCTAAGTGTACTGCGTCTCCTAGGAGCCTGCTAGGAATGTAAATTTCCAGCCCCACCTTAGGCTGCAGGAACTCTAAGGGCGGGGCCCAGAAATCCATTCTCACAGCCCTCCGGGTGATTCTGGTGCTCTAAATCCAGAGTCTGGAGGGCAGAGCTCCAGTAGCAGGTGACTGGTTAAGACGCTGGAGGGAGGGAGCCATCACGTGCACAAGTGGATTGCAAGGGTGCTGCCTGGCTTTTCACACAGGGTGGGGGCGCAGAACTGAGCAGGAAGGACCTGCACGTGCGCCCTTCCTTCTCCACCTGAGGCATTTAACTGCAGGAGTATAGAGCAAAGGTTTAAAAGCATCACATTTGATCTACGTTATCAAGGGAGAACACACCTAGGAGAAATCTTGAACTTTATAAAGTCTCCCACAGGAAGGGGGGATTGAAGGCCCACAAGAGCTTGTTTTGATCTAAAATATATCCGTGATCTATTTCGGGTAGTTAAGCATGAAGTGACACCTTCCAACTTCTTTTTAGTGAGATGCACTATGGGCATGACCAAGGATGTG